GCCACCGCTCTTGCTGTACTCTGGTACAACAAAGGCCTCAGGGGCTTTGAAGAAGTGCTCGAAGGCATTGGAATTCTCCCCTCACAAGATCTGGCCCACACATGGTGACCACTGTGACGTCATGCGCATCAGGACGATGAACCTGAAGCAACTGCAGAAGCGAGGGCACACCGTCGCAACACAGCGAAGAGAGCTCGTGTTGAGGACACTGACCGCAAGAGCCGTGAAGGACCAAGCTATGGTGCAGGGGACTTCTAGACACTTGCAGTGCATTCAAGGCAAGGTACTTTTCATTGTGCCCCAATTTCATGCAAAAAGAATGATTTCCTAATAAATGCCAACTTTGCGAACTTTCAAACTTGTTTTTCTCATTTTCATTTTTTCTGACAGTTTCACGTTTTCCGGGCAGCCTTTTAGAAACTTATATTCATTGTATAGTAACGAAACTTGGCACACATATTCTTCAACACATGCAGAATGCAAATATCTACTCTAAATTGCAATGCCTACCAGCATTAGTTGTGAAATATTAGCTTATTGTTTCAAGGGAGATGAAGATAATAAGTCATTCAATACAATTTTTTTTTCTTGGTTCCAATATTTCTGTGACATATCTATATAGATATTTTGCACTTTTCAATTTACCAAGTGTCAAATAAGATCAGACACAGTGCTTTTACTGAAAGTTAGTACATAAAAGAGTGCCCGCAAAAAATGTAACTTTTGCTATTGTTTATGGCATAACTCAATAATTATAGCATCTACACAAAAATGATTGCATATTTGAAATCTGCATGAAAAACTATACTAATAACAAACTTTTCAAGTCTCTATTACTAGAAATAAAAAAAAACTTTTTCGAGGAGCGTCTCCCCTAAAAGAAAGATGACACGTGGCGATTCTGGGTTCGTTGATTACCGCCATCTTAATCGAATCACGTAAAAGAAGGTTTATTTTTGCGCCGAATTGATGACGCCCTCTATTGTCCTTGGGCGTGATAGTTTTTCAATTGACCTACGTTCTGGCTATTGGCAGATTGCGGTGAACGAGAAAGACCAAGAAAAGACTGCGTTGTTACTCGCGACGGCCTATACCAATTCAAGGTGATGCCGTTCAGGCTATGCAATGCCCCAGCCACGTTTGAGCCTATGATGGACTCGCTATTGCAAGGGTTCAAGTGTTCAACATGCCTGTGCTACCTGGATGATGTCCTTGTATATTCGCCTACATTTGAGACGCACCTCCAGCGTTTTTCAGCAGTTCTCAACATTTTCCGCACTGCTGGCCTTCAAATAAACTAGTTGAAATGTCCCTTCGGCCGCCAGCAGATTACGGGGTTGGGCCACCTTGTCGACGCATCAGGTGTGCGTGACCCAGAGAAATTTCGTGCCGTCACGAGCTTTCCTGCACCCCAGTCTGTCAAGGATGTCCGGAGCTTTGTGGGACTTTGTTCCTATTTTAGAAGGTTCGTGAAAGATTTTGCAACAACCGCTCGACCACTCACCGACCTTCTGAAGAAAGACGTGACTTTTACGTGGGGTTCCGCTCAAGCTGCCGCTTTTTCTCAACTCATCACCCTCCTCACGACTCCACATATATTGGTGCACTTTGACCCGTCTGCCCCGACAGAAGTCAGAACCGATGCGAGTGTTAACGGGATTGGAGTCGTCTTAGCCCAACGCCAGCGGGGACACGACCGAGTCATCGCATACGCTAGCCGCCTTCTCACAGCTGCCGAGCGCAACTATTCAATAACAGAGCGTGAATGTCTTGCTCTTGTTTGGACCGTCACGAAGTTCCGCCCATATTTATATGGCACGAGCTTCTCTGTAATAACGGACCACCATGCGTTGGTTTTCCTCACTGAAGAATCCTACTGGCCGGCTCGGGCCCTGGGCTCTGCGACTGCAAGAGTATACCTACACGGTAACGTACAAGTCCAAACGCCTACATCAGGATGTAGACTGCCTGTCTCGCTACCCAGTTGCTGAGTCGAGCTCTATGCCTGACACCGACACCGAGCCTTGCATCTTTTTCCTTTCGCAAATGACATGCATCGGTGACAAATAGCGCCATGATGCGTTCTTGTGTGCTATCATTGAGCGCCTCGAATCACGATCTTCCGATCAGTCCTATCGTTCATTCGTGCTCCAGGATGGTGTATTATACCACCAAAGTTTTGAGCCGGATGGACCGGCCCTGCTGCTTGTCATTCCGAAAGACCTTCGCTCGGAAGTTCTACATGAACTTCATGACCTTCCGACTGCTGGTCACCTTGGTGTGTCACGCACTAAGGACCGAATACACCGACGCTTCTTTTGGCCAGGCCTTGCATGCTCAGTCAAAAGATACGTTGCGGCTTGTTAGCAATGCCAGCGCTGCAAAACACCATCGATGCCTCCCGCCGGATGCCTTCAACCACTTGACATTCCGTCAGAACCGTTCTTCCGCGTTGGCTTGGACCTGCTTGGCCCTTTCCTCTTGTCTTCCTCGGGTAACAAGTGGATAGCCGTGGCCACCAACTACGCCAGGCGTTATGCCATCACACGAGCTCTTCCAACAAGATGCGCCACAGATGTCGCCGACTTCCTCCTCAAGGATGTGATTTTGCAACACGGAGCCCCACGGCAGCTGCTTACAGACCGTGGCCGCACCTTTTTGTCGAAGGTCATAGCCGACATCTTGCAGTCCTGTCAAACGAGACACAAGCTGACTACGTCATACCACCCGCAAACCAATGGACTCACGGAGCGTCTAAATCGAACTCTTACAGACATGCTCGCTAAGTATGTTTCTACCAACCATACCGACTGAGATCTCGCGTTGCCGTACGTCACATTTGCCTACAATTCTTCTCGCCATGACACTGCCACCTACTCCCCATTTTTTCTGTTATTCGGCCGAGAACATACATTACCCTAGATACAGTCATTTCGTATACCGCGACACCGACCAGCGAATATGCCCTTGACGCTATCACTCGGGCTGCCAATGCATGCGAAATCGCCCGCACTCGCTTCCTGGCCTCTCAAGAGAACCAGCGGCGTTTGTACGATCAACGGTACCGCGATGCGCACTTCTTACCCGGTTGTGATGAGTGAAGAAAACGAGAACGACGGAAGTGCGGGGCAAGGCGCGTGTAATGTGCGCGTGAGTGTCAGCGAATCAGCTGGTGACCTGTGGTGGCCCATAGAGGTGGCGTGCCACGATTGGGCCACGTGTGACCATTACGTGGCAGTAAGCTTTGTGGCTGGGGACGAGCCGAAGCAGCGGCAGACAAAAGACAGCGGGCCGAAGCGTCGGACGCAGGCGATCCAGGTTCCGGCCAGGGAATGCGGCCGTCCACGCTGCTGCCGTCCAACCACCAGCCGGGGCGGCATTGCCGGCACGAGTACTGCATCTCGGGGCGCGGCCTGGCCTGCTGTTCTCTTCCTTGCCGAGGGCATCGCGGATCTCGGCGAGGCGTCTCCACGGTCAGCCGTTCGGCACAGCGATGAACGTGGCCTGGCTAATGGTCACGGTTGCGCCGAGCATCGCGTCTCGACGCAAGCTGTTCGCTGGACGGGCTGGCCATTCCCCGCATAGAGCATCGCGTCTCCGATGCGGGTTGACTGCGCAGTTGTCGCACCCATGCCATCAAGCGCCGGTGTCACCAATGTGTCGCACATCGGCAAGGGACGAGCGAGACGTTCTGCCGGGCGAGACGCGGGCGTATGCACGGCGGACCACGGAGCCGTGCAAGGTCCAGGGTGGCCGAGGATCAAGGTGCCAGGGGAGTTGCTGGCTGAATCGAGGATCGCCAGCGGTGCCGAGACAAAGCGGTGCGCCGCTCGAGAGGGGGAGTTCATGCCAGGATTCCTGAGCCGGACGTGGGACCCGTACGTGTCGGCCAGGTCGAGCTCCGGTGTGTTCGTTCGGGGTCGAGTCCTCCAGCCTGTACAAGGTCCAAGGACGGGGCCTGCTGATAGCTCCTGCCCGGGTGCAGTGGCCGGGAGCAGGTTCGTGGGCGAGGCCTACCGGGCGTGGTCCTCGTGAGCCATGGCCTGATCCTGGACCTCGGGAGTTGCGAACCAGGCGCTGGGTTGGTCGCGACGTCCGATTCAACGGTGCTGCACATGGTAGCGCATCCGTGTGCGGTCAGCCGTTCCAGCCGTGCCACCTTTGCCCTCGCGCACGTCGACGACCGCATCGTGTCGGGACGACGGGGACCCAAACTGCGACGTTCCCATTCCTGGACCAGGAAGTGCACAAAACCGAGAAGAACAAGGTGTGCCTGTACAAGTAGGTGTTTCCGCCGCACCTGCCGCACCCGACGCTGGCCTTCATCGGGCTGCTGCAGCTGCTTGGGGGCGTGTTCCCCGCGCAGGAGGCGCAGAGCCATGGTTCGCGCAGAACATCAACAAGAAAGTGTCACTTCCTTTTCTAGTGTTCAATATAAAGCTTCTTTTGTTCGCATCAATTGTTGATGTTAATCCTTTTTCGTCCGCTATTGACAAGCATAGTGACGAATGTCCTTAACCATCACACACATGTACACATATTTAATGCACAACCTTGAATCATGTGTTTACAAGGGTTATACACTAAAACCTCATTATAACAGTCATACCTGCCCAAAAAATATTTCATTATATCAGAAAATTCATTGTAAACATATATTCACCCTGTATCTATGACGGAGATGTCCTTCATTCACTTCAACATTACCAATACTTGTTCATAACCTGGTTCGCTATATCGAAGTTTGAGTGTAGTTTGTGCTTTAAAATATGTGTTTCAGTGCAAATAAAGGTAGTTGTGAGACCAGCGCTGCTGTTCATCTCCCTTCTGTTCTTCTTGTCCTCATTATATCACGCTGTGTCCACTCAACATGTTTAATAGCATCGAACTCGCCCAAATGTCAGTTATTTTGCAACCTTATGTGTGACTGCAGCTGACCGTGCGGTCTCAAGACTTGGTGGCTTGGGCCTTCTTGTGCCTGTCTAAGACGGGCAAACTGTGCAACAGCTGCCAGGTGCAAGGAGCGCCGTTGGCCGTCATGGAACGGTGAGTGCTGGAGCTCACCGCCATCATCAAGCATTCAGGGTGAGTCGGCTGAGCATTTGCACTCCGTGTCAAGTTTAGGTATGCCGGATCTGCGAAAACCGGGACCATTGAAAGGACTTCAAAGGCTAAATTGCAACAGAAAAGGCAACAGGTAATACAGTCTTTAACATTTTGATCCATTTTCAGAACCTGAAAATACGTCGATGAAGTCTAAAACATTCGTTGGCACCACCAGAAACCGCCGCTGTTCAGCAAGCATGGACACCGCCATTGCTCGACAGGGATGACAATGAGCCTGTGCTGCTTTTGCCACCGGCTTGCTATTGAGCCGCAGACGATCCAAAGCTGAAGCTAAGTTGCTCAGTTTATGGTTTTTCTCACGCAGCTGCTGGGTGCATGTGCGGAACAATGCCTTTTCCGATTCCGATGCTTATCATTTTGTTCGTGCTTGGCCAGTGAGGTAACTAATCAGAGCGGCTGTTTGTCCACATTATCAACAAAATCAGCTATCCGCGAATGGTGTATGATAAGAATGGCATAGAATAAGGCAAAAGTCACCACTCCACTATACCCCGTCTCCGTCTCGGCATTGTCGGATATGCTCTGACGGTGGACAGCTGCTGGTGTTAATGTGTTAATGCAACTGTTTGGTTCATTCACGAAAGCAGTTGTAAGCGTTGTTTCAGCGCGCTTTTCACCATGGTCTTGCTCTGTATTATCTCGTGACGCTGCTGGAAAAGAATAGGAAGCAGCGGACACTTTTTGAATGTTCAGAATAAAGGTTTTTTGTTTGCTAGCTCCTATCAGCTTTATATTTTTTTGTTCCACTGCAATTAAATTTTCACTTCAACGAAACTTTTTCCGCGCCCCGTCAGTTTTCTTATAGCGGAAGTTTGACTGTGTACCCTATAAAGTGAACGGGGGATGACTGCCACATAAGCTGACTGGTAGAGCATCGGACGTGTTATTCGCAGGTTCGGATCCTGCCGGTGGCAAGTTATCTTTTTCGTCCACTTTTATTTCTTCACATTTACCTTACTAGTACTCCTGATATATCCCCTATATTTTTCTGGACATCGTTGTCTGTTAGTTCTCTTTATTATTGTGCCCAACAAAGAAAAAAAAGAAGAAAACAAGCCCTTGGACATACATGTCTTTCCTTCAACAGCACCTGAAACTGCTGAGACTGTCCATTTAGTGGACGTGTGCACTTCCACCTAAAGTCATCGGAGCACATTTAGTTTCTGCAGAAAGTAGCAAGCCGTGAATACATGCTGGTGTGTTAAACAGACGTGTGGATTAAATCTCACTGGAGATCTGTCATGATCACAGAATCAGAGCTATTGAATGATCTCCAAGAATGCATCTCGCGTTTGCGACACCAAGAATGCATCTCCAGAGGCTGCACTCGCAACGTTGAAGTGCATTTCGTTCCTTTCAGCTGTGTTAGAAATTTTGGTAGCTATGTCACATCCAAACTACTTTGCGGAAGAAAAATAGGGAAATGGGGGCGTGCTGCTCATCCAGCTCCGGCCGTGCAACCTTTCACATTTATGAGTACAAGTCACCTTCTAAATTTTTTGTAATGCTGCACTTGTTGGTGGGGATACACTATGAAATTAGTAGGCACAAAAAAAACGTTTGGAGCAAGTGCATCGTCCCATTATCCTTTGCTTCATCCGTGTTTTTGTTTTGTACACCGCAAGTTTCCACAAGGTTTGCTAATTAGAGCTTGTTCATTAGCTTCACACATTCTGCACGGATTTCACAAACATTCATGGCTGTAGTGAAGTCTATCTCGTGTGTTTAAAATGATTTGTATGTCATCTGAAGGGAAGAGAGCACCAGAGAGATATGTGCCTCGAAAAAATGATTCAAATAGTTATCTGCAAATAATGTGCACCTTCTTATTCTGTGTTTGTTGCTGCCTGTGTGCTAAGCTGTAAGGCAAATCATTGTTAATAAAATAAATGTGTAAGCCACAATTGATGCGCGCTCAAGGTAGATTTGCAAAGACAGGTATGTATTATTTGTTTTTTCTTCTCTCTCTAACATATTTATTTTGGTGGAGGTGAAATGCCCTAAGACCCTTTTATAAATGTAATAAAGGCGAAAGTCTTAGATGCCTTATCAAACATGAAAACCGACTCTAGGCAGGGTTGACTTGAAAGCAGGTGATGCGAAAATATTATCAGTTGTGTTCAAGGTGTTTCTTCAAGGTGTTTTTTTCTAAGTGACCATAAAGGGCTTTTAAAAGATATTAGAAGCTGTTGCTTTCTTTTCTTCCTTTTTCTTTGCTTAGAGCTGCCTCAGACATACTGACACCTCCAAAGGAAGAGGAGCTGAAGAGGTAAGCCTGTTTTGAATCCATCAGTTTGTCATTGAAAGGGCCCTGCAACACTTATTCAAGTAGACAACGACTGGATCCAGTAAAGAAGCTTCTTGCCTCACAAATTGTATGCCGCAAAAATATTTAGAATCTATCTAGTACAAGTGGAGCTGCAAAGATTTGTCACATGCTGCTATGGCTTTCTCTTTTTTCTTGTCCTGACAAAAGTGCTGGAAGCTAAGCAGGGAGAGATGACACCGGGAAAGAAAATACCTCACGCGGGCCTCGTTACTTCGAGTGGTTTCTTTCTCTTTTTTTTTCTTTGAACGCGCGGATTTTCATGGCGGTCACAAGCGCGCCTGTGAGCAGGTCGCAGCCCCTGTGGGCAGGTCGCAGCTTCAGTAACTGGGAGCGTGCCACGCTCAAATCAGCCAATGGCAGGATACTTTGGCCGGTGACGCAATGATTTTTGAGTATGTAGCATCATTTGTTGAGAGAAGAGAAAGCGATCTTTAGCTGACGTTTAGAATTTATTGTGAATTCCAGGCCGCGTGCTGTGCTATAAAGTTTGGCTAGCGTGTTCTCGGGAGCCTCGACTACGTATCGCCTGCGTTTTCTGACTATACTCAAGAAGTGTTAGTGGGCCCCCTTTGTGAAAGCAGTTTTGAGGGCTCATTTTCTTGTTTAACACAACCTTAATGACAGCCAGGAAATAATGAAGACAAGAATGGTATATGGAACATTAATTGTACTTTTTAGGCTGTATTGTAGTAAATGTGATATAGAATTAAAGTGGATGGAAAGACCACAGTTACCAGGCAGGGACCGTACTTGCAATTTTTGGATTACGCGTATAGTGCTGTTTTTCAATGAAATCTTCGCACAAACTTGGCTTCCATGCTTCACGTCATGGAGTTGTGCATACCCATGAATTTTCTGGAGGAGCAGTGAATCCAATAAGTCTTGTTGCTGTTGTTTGTGATGCTGAAGGATTATAAAGTGCATGCAACTAGGCAGAGCCGAGTGTTTGTTACAAGTAGGTGCGTGTTCATGTGGACCCCTTTTCTAGGTCTAGTTGCATGCATTTCATATTCATTTAGCAAGCAGTGAAGTCTTCCTAAATTTCGTTCAAGACACCGTCTTCCATTGAGCATCTGTATTGTTTGCCTTTTGCTACAGGCGGCACGAGGATTTGGCACAGTTGCCTGCCCAGGTTCGTCTCGTCACTGCTGTCACGTCTACCCAGGAGTAATCTTCGTGGTGGGCCTCTCATTTGTACAGTCCTGTTTCTCATATATACATGCTCGTTTTTTACTAACATAGCGTTTCTTGTGCTCGCTTCGCGTGTAAATCTCGTAACAAAGTAAAGTGCTCATGGATCTAAATGCCACATCAAAACTTTGTGTACTGACCGGAATGCACAATTGCTAAACATATCTCCATGAATCTGGCCGCTGAAGGTAATATTGGCTGTCATGTGAGTGTCGAAGGTAAAGTTACGTTGATATTACGTGATGTGAATGAACTAAAGTATTTGCACTGTGTCGTGTTTGAATCTGTGAACAGGTGTACGTACGACATACAATGAGATGTACGCACTGTTTGCCTTTGTGAGACTGAGTTTTTTTGTGTAGTATTAGCTGGATTATCTACGAGCTTTTCTATGGTCATTGCACTTTTGTTTCAGTGGATAAGTGTTGTTTACACGTCCTTCAATAAGTTTGAACAATGTGGTGTCTATTCCACAAGTTTTTTGGCATTATATGAGGGTTAGCATTGACAGTAGTTGGCAGTGAGAATGTCAAAAAGATGTGGTTAAGTGTGATTTTATTATGCTTTACAAGTGGAGCTTATCAATTACTGCGTGTGTGTCATAGACGATTTTGTGCAGCTGGTTTGCTAACTCGAACCTAGATGGCGCTACAACACTCTAGACGTCTCCTTATCATGACCATCTTTTTGCCGTGCCCTTCTGCAGTACTGTTCAACAACCACTCTGCGTCGTCTGCTTCCCGTCCCTGTAGCGTCTGCGCGCACGCAATTAAAAGCGAAGCAGACGCTATGGGAAGCCGAGCAGGCAACGCGACACAGATGTTCAGCAGTGCTGCAGAAGGCCAAGGAAGAAAGACGAGCACGGTAGGGAAGGTCATCATGGCGGCACTTATGGGTGCTGTTTCGTTCCACCTCGATCTTATGTCGTCCTCCTGCGCTGTGTTTCCCATAAGTTCGCAAGACATGCATTTGTATAATTTATATTTACGTACCGAAGCTTCGAGAGCAATGTATTAGTCGGTATTTAGCAGTGTTTTCTAGAGTCATTCTTGAATTCTTGGAGACAAGGCTTAGCAGGCATGGTCAAATAAACACAGCTAATCTTCTTAAAACAGTACGTACCTGATGTCTTGTCCCCAGCATGAGTTGACATAGAGTCGTAGCCGATTTCATCATTTTTTGGTTGCTCTGACGACAGTGGGCGAGTAGCAAGCGCGAGTTTGGATCGAAGCGGGCGTTTGCGTCTGCACTGGTGCTGACATGTTGGCTTCTAATCCCAGCTACCAGCGCTTACGGCCACGACCGCTTCGCTGGCCCAATGCGTTCGCTTGGGCAACTGCCTTGGAAAAGGCCAGTTTATGGTCACGTGATCAAACATGGCAGCGCATAGGCACTGCTGCCGATGAAAAATGAGCCTGTGCCATTGACAATCACATTACTTGTAGCTGAATTGAATGCAGAGGTGTATTCAAGATGAATATTATATACACTAAATATTTAAATGTGCTTCCCCTCTAGTGTGTCGGGTTTTCTTTGGTTAGCCATATGAGCTTACTGTTGCGTGCTCCTGCACGGGCTGCCTCATTGGCATTGAAGTAACCTCCAAAGCAGGGGCTTCTCTAGAAATAATGTTGCTTTCTCCTAGTGTCAAAGCCATGTTATGATTGATCACACCACATGGCCTTGCACTTGGCTTGTAGAGTGTGACATAGGGAAGAAGCTTTGACTGATAAGAAGGTTTGCGGTGGGCAGTTAGCAGTGAAAAAGGTGAGGGCCGGATGACGTGGTAGACGAGTAGGAAAGTACGGGAACATTCGTCACTGTTCTCACGGCATACTGATGTATGGTGTCTCTCTATGCGGCGGGTCTCTTGTTCAGTGGGTTTTCAATTAACCTCATTGTGCTGTATTCTAAGGCCCACCTTTGGGTTAATAACTAGCACTGCATGTGCACATGAAGTGAGGAAGCCCACTGTGGCTCCGGCTTTGATTGTCTGCTGCATGTTACAAGCCGAAGACCAGTGTCATCTGTTTGCCATGCCATATTCGTCGCTTGCATGACAGTCGGGTTAACGATGTTGAAGGGCTTCACCACTATGCTTATACACTCAAGCGTCATTATAACAAGGTTGCATCCTACTGGAAAATAAGTTTGTTATATTCAAAATTTTTATAAAGGTTATTCTTAACACTACTTTTCAGTGCTTTTGTTATAACCTATATTTCGCTGTATCCGTATTCGTTATATTGAGGTTAAAGTGTACATGTTACATGCCTGCCATGTGTGCCTATTGCTCTGTGCCTGTTGCTCAGTTGTGTTGTATTTTGGTGGGAGCTTTCTCTCATTGGAGCTAACAGACATTGACCATGCAAGTTGCATTCACAGTAGGCGTATAACATCGGCAAATGTGCCTTAGGCTGACCTGGCTGTGCAGCGGGGTCTTTCATTAAATGGGACACCTAATTCAGCCGTTACGCGATGTAAACATACCGGAACGACATGTTTTGCTTTTGTTAAAATGGTGCTCTGAGATGAATGCATCTATTGAAAAGAAAAATAAATCTTGTGAAAACTTTGTCACAAATACGTCTGTTGGCCGTGAGCACTGCCACGCAGAACACTGGAAGTGAGCTTCGCCCTAAGCGGCCCATGTCTTCGTGTGGAACTTGTACAGGTGGGTCTCGCCAGATGTGAAACAGAGGTGTGCACTTCATTTGTTTATCAATGCCTTTGTTATAGCTCTGCTACCAGGAATCCTGTACCTTTCTCTTCTTTTTTATAAAGGCGTGTTTCATGCCAAACTTCATCTTTTTTTTTGCATGCTCCTCTTGTAATTTAATGAAAGATGACTGTAGCTTATCACTCTCTGTGGGCTGATAACATCCAGCTGACAACGGGCATTCGTGAAGACTTATATATATATATATATATATATATATATATATATATATATATATATATATATATATATATATATATATATATATATATATATATATATATTGTGGCAAAGCCTTACGAACAGTGGGTCGTCCTCTCCAGTGCCTTCTAGTGGGTCGCCCTTTTCATAAGAAGAAGAGCAGCACGTGCAGAGAGTCTGTCCCCACATTGACTGTCACTGTCGTGGATCATCAACGAGTGTCCGCCAATAAACGTCTTAACAATTTGGTGGAGAGTGCTGTGCCCTTCAAACATCTTTGGTTCGCATTCGATGCCCTTGGAGCTTCGATCCCGTACTGTGCCTTTTACCATGCACCAGGACGCCGCTCAGCGAACGCTCCCTCCTACGCCGACGCCATGTCCCGGTGTCCCCCGCATCTGCGACCCTCCTGTCTTCACCGGCGCGGATGGCACCGACGACGAGGACTGGCTCACCATGTACGAACGCATGAGCATCCCCAATCATTGGGACGAGGCAGCTAAACTCGATAACCTATTTTTCTACTTCGCGGGTGTGGCTGGAATGTGGTACAATAACCACGCGTCTGATTTCCCGACTTGGTTCACTTTTAAAACCGCTGTCGTCGACGTGTTCGGCCGTCCTACCGTTCGTAAACTGCAAGCCGAACAGCGTTTACGTGAACGAGCACAGCAGACCGGCGAGTCCTTCACAAGTTACATCGAAGACATCCTCGACTTGTGCAATAAAGTCGACCTGAATATGTCAGAGGCTGACAAAATCACGCATGTTCTAAAAGGCATCGCCGACGATGCCTTCATCATGCTCCTGGCCAAGAACCCTCTCACTGTGGCAGAAGTCATTACATTATGCCAAAGTTACGACGAGCTGCGGCGGCAGCGCTTGATGACCCGTCGATCGCCACCACGTGATGCTGGTTTCTCGGCTTTGTCAGCAGTTCCTGACCACACAACCTTGCTCGCCGAAATCAAGTCATTCGTGCGCGAGGAAGTTGCCCGCCAGGTCTCTTTACTAGCTTTTGCTCTGTCGCAACATGCTCAGCAGCCATCAAGTACACTTCTACCTCCGCTCCGCCGAGCCATTCAGCAGGAAATCGCGGAGGTCGTTCCTGAATACCACCAGCCGCCTCATGTATCTGCGCCACTCAGCTACGCCCAAGTTGTAGCCAAGTCGCCCCCACTGATTTCTGTGGCTTGCCCCCTAAGTTACACCGAAACCACCGCGAGGCCCCAGGCCTTCGCAGAAACATACGCCGACGTCACCCACGTGCCCCGACTGCCGTCCACCAAACACTCATATCAGCAGCCGGCTCGCCCATCGCGTTCTGAGACATGAATGGGACTCGCGAACAAATGGCGCACTGTTGACAATGGCCCCATCTGCTTTGGTTGTGGTCGCGTCGGTCACGTAGCACGCTATTGCAATCGTGTGCAGCAACCGCAGGTCGCCTTGAACTTTCCCAGCCAATCAAGCCGCTCTTATGACCAACCGCCGCCTATGTCACCGTTGTCCTGCCCCGTTCCGTCTACCCGCCGTTCACCATCTCCGCGACGTCGCTCACTGTCGCCGATGCAGCCACGTTCACTCGAGCGTGACCAGGAAAACTATTCGTCGCAGTCCACGAGGCAAGGGCTGCGATGCTGTCGAACTGCGGAAGCCCTCGGGAAAGCCCATTGAACGTGATAGATGTACTTGTGAATGGCGTTCGTGCATCTGTCCTTGTAGATACTGGAGCCGCCGTATCCGTCATGGACGCAAAACTTGACCGATTACTGCGCAAAGTGACCACTGCGACTCTCCGGGCTCTCCCTCCGTACAGCCAGCGCCCAAAGCATTCACCCTACGGCGATGTGCACAGCCCGTCTTATGATTCAGGATGTGATGTATGCGGTCGAATTCATCATAATTCCTTCATGCTCTCACGAGGTCATCCTAGGATGGGATTTTCTCTCCCGCCATGACGCCGTCATTCATTGCGCACTAGCAGAAATAGAACTCACACAAT